GTGTGATATGACCTGGGATTCTTCATTTTATTAAACTTGCAGCATAGATTGTTGCTTTTTGGTGAGTCACATCTTTAAGTAGTAAGCTTATAGAGTGCTTACATCCCCCTGAAGTTTTCAAAAAGAATTCTATCTTCTTTTGATACTTAATATTTAAACTAACTGCTGTGAGAGCAAAGCACTTGAGCCCTTTTTGCTCAGTTGTATTTGCATGAGTTAATAGTTAATTGCTTCTATCTGATGAGTTTGAGCACTTCCGTATGCAGTGTTGTCATCCTGCCCTAGAATGTTAGTGAGATCTTGAAAGTGGCAACAGAAGAACCTGTGTCACACAGTGCTGAGCAAAATAGAGATGAGAGGTTTATGGTCCGAGTCCTGCACTTAAGAGGCCAGTCTTTACGATGCCAGTTATTCTGCCTTGGGCTCAGTCTTCTGATTGCTGTGCGGGTGAACAAGATAATCCATTTGGTACTGTGCCCAGCAGTTTGCTTGTATTATCCAAAAGAAGTCAAGCCTGCTTTGTGAGAATACAGCGGTTGCCCAAGGTCATCAGGATTCTGGATAGAGAAAGATGGTCAGAAGCTGCGGAATACTGCTGTGAGGAGCACTGAGAATAGGGCAAGGGTCCACCCTCTAGAGGAACTCGCTCTGCTAGTCTTTTTCTTTTATGCTTCTTTTTCTTGCTGCTATTACTTTTGTGGGATCAAAGTATCCCTTGCTAGTTTTCCTGTTTTGAAAGTCAATACATAGCTTGCATTCCTTAAGGGATTTTATTACTAATCATATACCAAAAAACATAAAAGTACTTTTTTTTTTATTCTGCCCTCTTCTCCCTTTAGGTTTACCTGGGAAGATACAGATATCTACACAAAAGCACACACAGAAGCCTAAGACTTAAATTTATTCTCATTTTGTCTTTGATCTTCTAGGGTGGCTCTCTAAGCAGAGGATGCTTGCTTTTATTTAAACATAAACTTTAAATCAATGTTAGCATACTTAATAATTTTAATTTTAGACTTAAACACTAATGCAATGTTCGTGAGAATAATTTTAAGATTTAAAAACCAAAATTTTCCTTGCAAAGCAGAGGGAGTGACATGAAGCCAGAAAGGGAACAGAGAGTACCCATCTACTGGTTCCTTCCCCACGTGCTCCAGTGCTTGGGCACTTGGTACTCAGGCAGGACCTTCTGTTACATGACAGGGACCCAGGGACTGACGGCATCACACTTACCTCTTAGGGTGTGCATTAGCAGGAAGCTGGAATAAGGAATGGAGCTGGGATTCTAACCCATGTGTGTGATGCCAGGGGTGTCTAACTTCTACCCCAAGTACCAGCCCCTTTTTTAGGATTTGGATAGAGAAGTAAGGAAAATCAACAATTTGTTTCTGCAGTAAAAAATTTAAAACAATGATAAGATGTCTGTAGATGCTACATATTTTTATAAAGACTACAGTATATAATTTTAGAATGTATTAATTAATTGTTCAGTAAAAGTAGTATAGATTTATTGCAAGATAACAATTTGAGAATATAAAGTTGGCAGAAGTGGCTCCTCACAATGCAATCTTTTCTGTGTTGAATAATTTTGCAGAAATTGCCATGTCTGCATTCTCTTACAGATTTTCAAAATAAAATGATTTTAGTTAGAATCTTTTTTTTTTATATTTTGACAATCTTTACATAGTTAATTAGGGTAAATAGAATCTTAAAATTATGTAACATTTGAATTTGCAACATGATAAGGACTGTTTTGCTCTGCAACTTTGAATATTTATTTGTATCTTATTTATGCCTTTTTTCACCATATCTAAAATCTGAAGCCAAGAGTAAAAAGCTAAAGGTAACACTTAAAATTTATGGTAAATGGATTAAACACTAAGCAAGAAAGGAAGGAAAAAGATTGAAATAACTTCCCATTTTGCTGAATTTGTATATATATGTATGCATCCATTTAATTAATTAACATAAAGATGATATGTTTTAAATAATTTATAAGTGATTAGTCAAGTAAAGCTTACTACCTTGTATAATATGTTCTTTTTTTTTTTTAAAGATTTATTTCTTTATTGGAAAGTCAGATATACAGAGAGGAGGAGAGACAGAGGAAGATCTTCTGTCTGATGATTCACTCCCCAAGTGAGCGCAGCCGATGCTATGCCAATCCGAAGCCAGGAGTCAGGAGCTTCCTCCAGGTCTCCCATGTGGTGCAGGGTCCCAAAGCTTTGGGCCATCCCCGACTGCTTTCCCAGGCTACAAGCAGGGAGCTGGATAGGGAAGTGGAGCTGCCGGGATTAGAACAGGCGCCCATATGGGATCTCGGGCGCGCTCAAGGCGAGGACTTTAGCCGCTAGGCCACGCCGCTGGGCCTGTGTAATATGTTCTTTAACAATTAAATAAATTTGTGCATGGTGCAGTAGCCTAGTGGCTGCAAGTCCTCACCTTGCATACTTGGAATCCAGTATGAGCGCAGTTTCAAGTCCACTTCCCTTTCAGCTCCCCGCTTGTGGCCTGGGAAAGCAATAGAGGACAGCCCAAAGCCTTGGGACCCTGCACCCATGTGGGAGACTCCAAAGAAGCTCCTGGCTCCAGGCTTCACATTGGCTTAACACTGATCACTGTGGCTGCTTTGGTAGTGATCAGTAATAGAAGATCTTTCTGTCTTTCTTCTTTGTAAATCTGACTTTCCAATAAAAATAAATAAATCTTAAAAAAAAATAATTAAGCAAATTTGACTTTTAAACTTATTTGTTTATCTGACGGAGAGGAAGACAGTAAAAGCTCCCAACTGGTAAATCACTCCCCAAATGCTCAAAATGGCCCTTATCTGGGGCTAAGTTAGGAGTCAGGAATTCAACCCAGTTTTTGGGTGTGGTGGCAAGAATCCAGTCACATGTGCCATCACTGCCTACAGTTTGCAGTAGCAGAAAACTGGAGAGCTTGACATCTAGACCCAGGTATTGTGATAAGAGACTCAGCAGTCTCCATTCTAGGCCAATCACCCATCCCTTAATTAGGCCTTCATCTGAAATTATTTTAATGTAGCCATTTATGTGTAAATGAAAACTTAGCATCAGCATTTTATAATAGCAGTTAGACTATTACAAAAGTCAAACTTTTGTAGTTGCATAGCTTCATTAAAAATAGTTGTAGTGAGGGCCTGGTGTGATGGCCTACTGACTAGCTCCTCACCTTGCATGCTCCAGGATGCCATGTGGACATCGGTTCATGTCCCAGCTGCTGCCCTGCTTCCCATCCAGCTCCCTGCTTGTGGCCTGGAAAGTAGTTGAGGATGGCCCAGGGCCTTGGGATCCTACACCCGTGGGGCAGTCCCAGAAGAGGTTCCTGGCTCTTGGCTGTTGGCTTCGGATTGGCTAGCTTCAGGTCTATGTGGCCACTTGCCGGGCAAACCAGAAGATGGAAGATCTTTCTCTCCTTCTGTATGTAGATCTGCCTTTCCAATGGAATGGATATATCTTAAAAACTGTTGCAGTGAGTCTAGCAGTGTAATTATTCCTTTTTAACATTGTACTTTTATATCAATAAAGGTATCAACTTGCTTAAATATGGGGTTCTAATAGCTTTATTTTTTTCGTTACAGTTTCTTGGAATAAAGTACAAATAAAAGTGTGTTTAAGGAAGAAACATTTATACTATATGTCAAAAAACTCCAGTAGCGCTCAGAATAATTCATTTAATTATATAAAGTTTTATATGCTTTAACAGAGGTCTGAGAAAAAAGGTAAAGATATGACTCATGGCCATTGTGAGTTACATAATTTTGTACTTCTAGATTCAAACTTATGTTATGTCAAAGCTACATTTTATGGCCTTTGAAGGTCTGAAATACTGTTAAGTAAGACTGGAAATTATAATGAGATAAAGGTTTCAGTGTGTTTGACAAAAGCACGTGGTCACTGAAGGCCCAGAAACTCCAGTACTTCCTGAATATGTATTGATTTTCAGTTCTTAATTGTATTGTATTTTATTTTTTTGAGTATTCATTTATTTATTTTTATTGGGAAGGCAGATATACAGAGAGAAGGAGAGACAGAGAGAAAGATCTGTCTGCTGGTTCACTCCCTAAGTAGCCACAATGACCAGAACCAAGTCAATCTGAAGCCAGAAGTCAGGAACTTTTTCTGGGTCTCCCATGCAGGAGCAGGGTCCCAAGGCTTTGGGCTATCCTTGACTGCTTTCCCAGGCCACAAGAAAGGGGCTGGATGGAAGTAGAGCATCTAGAACACTAACTAGCGCATATATGTGATTCTGGTGCATGCAAGGCAAGGACTTTATCACTAGGCTACTGCACTGGGCCCACTTAACGTGTTTTACAACTGTTTAACCATTACTTTTTACTTAGTTTGACACCAAGATGATTCAGTCATACACACTCAAAATAACAGAAAATGATAATTCTATAAGTTTATAAATTTGACATGATCTTAGATTTTTGAAAATATGATTTTAATAACCTATATGCATTGACTTACTTACAGATATTTGGTTAGCGGACTGATTATTATTGACTACAGTGGATTATTCTGTTAGTTTATTGACCGCCACGGAAACCTGCTATATGCAAACTCTTCGGGGTGTAAATGATTTTCCTGTTTATATGGAATTAACATAATGTTCACATATTTAGAATATGATCACATATTAATACATACATGCATACATCGTTGGCGTATAAATTTTTTATGAGCGGGCACTGTTTTGTTTATTATTTCCTTGTACCGGTTTGTGCCTGGCCAATCGTAACAAAATTGTGTTGTATTTACTTTGAAACTTTAGTGACGGATAATAGAAATCATAGTTAGATGAAAAGTCCAGAACTTTTTGGATTCAGTTTTAGTCTCTGATTGCGACTGATACCAATTTTTATTTATTTTTCTCTTAAAAAATTTTCGAAATTTTTGAAATTTTTTGAAAGTCAAGGACAACTTTTCCTGATACACCAGGGATTATAATCTATCTTCTTTTCTTCTTTGAAACAGATTTGCTCGAAAACGTTTATGGGTCTTCAGTGAAGAGAAGGGAACTTGAAGATCTGAAGGATAATATTGAATTCAGTGGTCATAAGCCACTTAACAACATCACTGTTTCAAAGAAACGCAGTTGGCTATATCAGAGTACCCTGAGATCTCTGGAGGAAGAAAGTAAGAAATGCCAAGAGAGAAGTCATTTACCCATCTCACCTGTCACTCCACCTAAACATCAACTATCTCAACCTCTCCTCAAAACGTCTGAAGAATACTGTACATATATGATGTGTAATACTGCGGAGTCCGCCTTATCAAGAAACTGTTCTTTAGATTGTAATGAGGAAAATGATGCAGATGATGAAGGAGAAATATGGTACAACCCCATTCCTGAGGATGACGAGCTCAGTATGTCGAGTACCTGGAGCTTTGGCGAGCCGCACTCTGCTGGTCAGAAGCTTCCGGCCGTCAGTTGGAGCACGGTGTCTGGCAGTGCTCTGAAAAAAGCAGAGCAACATCCTGAAGACGCGTGTCACTCCTCCGAACACACAGGTGATGCACACACTGTGCAGTCACGTGAAGTGCATCCTATGGATCCCATCCATCCTACAGACTTTGGACAGCAGTGCAAGCCAAAGCTAGGACACAAGACACTAGAAAGTGTGGTGTTAGAGGATAGTCCTACATCAAAGTCTCCTTTTACAGGTAAAAGAGGATCATATGTGCTGTCTGCTCTTCTGCCTTCTGTTTCCTCATCGGTTCTTCGATAGTTGCTGAAATCAAATATAGATGTCTTTGGTATTTGTGTCCTTTTCCTTATTATGTGAATATATTTCCATGAAAATAAAACTTCATAAGCTTAAAATTATGTTGATACATGCAGTTGCTTAATAGAAATGGAGACAGAAATTAAGATCTTACAAATAGAGCATCTGAAAAAGGAAGTAGTGAATTGAAACATTTTATAAAGATCAACCTAATGGATGTATTTATCCTTGATTGCCTTTAATTTTCCATTGTGCTTCATTTAGTCTCAGGCAGACATATTACCCAGGAAACAGAACATAAGGTACATTTGGTTGCAATGATTAAATGTGGAATAGAAAGAAATTCTGTTTTATATCAAATCTGAATCTGTAGAATTATTAATTTATAGATATGGGTCAAGGCAGATCTGTCCATGCCTTATCACATATCATACTCTTTTGGTTTTATCGCTTGCGACCTCAAGGGCAGAAATCTGTTTTTAGCCACTATCTGTTTCTTTGGGAACTTTGGAATCTTAAGAGATCTCTGTAGGCGCCCTGGGAGTGCTTCTCAAGCACTTACTGATGGGACTTGAACTACAACTACCCCTGTTCCCTTACCTCTTGGGTGCAATAATCTGAGTTAGTATTCACATTGTTTCCCTGAGTTTTATTTCAGTAGGTTAAGTTGTAGTTGCCCGAAATGACAGCAGAGTTGATAACTCTGAATTTTCTCCTGAATTCTTTCATTCTCTTGCTAATATTTCTTTGTTTTGCAAATCAGGTACTTGAATTTGAGCTCAGGGGTAATGTTATATTAAGAAAGGTTAATTAAAAAATTATATACAGTGTGATGGTAGTTTTGAAAGAAATGATGAATGCTATATCAAGAATGATAATCTTTTTCCTGGGTGTTGAGACTGAAGGTGTTTTTTTCTTTGTGCAATTCCAGTTGTGGACTAATTTTCTGGAGTAAATGTGTGCTTCCTTTGTAATCAGGATATGGGGAGAAATAAGTAGAGTTGCAGTTGGGACTGAAGGTTGTAATCAGGGTGAGGGATAGGAAAGGCTGAGTTTCAATGAGAGTGATGGGTGTGGAATGGTGCAGAGAAGGCAGGAGGGTAAGAGCATAGAAACTATTTTCTGCAAAGTTGTAAAGTGACACACATTTTGACTTACAGTACTTCCATGAGAAAGTATTTTATGTATGGTAAATTCTGAATCTGGAAAAGCCAATAGGCTTTTGGAAAAAAAAAGGTAAAACTCGGGACCTGGTGTTGAACCTGGGAGAGGCCCCTGTCTCACATTAGAGTTCTGGGATTGATTCCAGGACTTTAGCCACTACACTATCGCGCCAGGCCCTAGGTTATTTTTATTTAGTACCTTTGTCTTGCATGATAACTTTCAGATTTACATTTCTGTTTCTCATGCTTTGTGAATCTAATGGAGTTGATGTGCTCCAATCTACTTCACTTTCCCTGGTGCTGGCTGTTAGGTTGTTTTCACTGCCACTGCAGTGATCTTTGTCATGATCATTTTTACTTTATTAAGATTAATTGCTGGGCCCAGCGCGATTGCATAGCAGTTAAACTCCTTGCCTTGAATGCACCAGGATCCCATATGGGTGTCAGTTCCAATTCCCAGCAGCCCCGCTTCCCATCCAGCTCTCTGGCTGTGGCCTGGGAAAACAGGATAGTTCAAAGCTTTGGGACTGTTCACCCGCATGGGAGACCCAGAAGAGACTCCTGGCTTCGGATTGGCTCAGCTCCAGCCGTTGTGGCCTCTTGGGGAGTGAATCATTGGACGGAAGATCTTCCTCTCTGTTTCTCCTCCTCTCTGTATATCTGCTGTTCCAATAAAAATAAATCTTTAAAAAAAAAAAGATTAATTACTAGTATAAGTACTGCGTCTTTTTAGCTGGTAACTAATATTGGTAATTCCTGTATTGTATTTCCTAAAGGGCTTACTGGCTTATGGGGCAACTGAAAATTTGTTGTTTGATTAATTAATTTATTTAAAATGAAATGAACTCCTACTTATGTGCCGTTACTGTTCTACATGCTGAAGGAATGGGCCAGTTTCACTGATTCCAGCCTGGTTCATAAATATAAATATTTTTGTTTTATACTTTTTCATAATTAATTGGTCTCTGACTTGATTAGTTTGGTTTAGTTTTAATTGCCTCTGTAGTTTACAAAAGCAGAATTTTTGTTCCAGTGCATTCAGTCTTCTTTGCAATAAAAGTTGTTAATGTATAGTATTTTAGTTTAATAATCAGTTAAGAGCTTCAGTATGAATTTGTTTGCTTATGTAAAAAATGCTGACTTTCTTAATGATTTAATACAATCTAGAGCAGTTTAATATACAGGGTAGCTTTTCTATCCTGAAACAAAACAGACATTTGTAACAGGGCTCTGGTTACTATAGAATGTCTTAGACTGAGAAACCAGTAGTGTTATACTACAATTTGCAGTACAAGGGGATGCTTTGTACAGTTTATCAAACACTCTTTTTCATGTTCATTGCTTAACAGAGAAACCCAGTGGGCATGCTTAAAATAGTCCTTTCTCTACAAAGAAACTACTTCTTTGTCACTAGGTCACATAGAAAGCGGTTCAGGAGAGAATATTACATTAGTGTTTTCAAAAAAGGTCTCAATCTATTGACTTTAAAAAAATATTTATTTTCAACTACTCAGGCAGAGTGAAAGAGAGATCTTCATCTGCTGCTTTACTTCCCAGATTCCTGCAACAGTCAAGTAAAACCAGTTACGTGGAACTTTGAGTCTCCCATGTTGATGGCAGAGGTCCAACCAAATGGGCCATCCTCTGCCTTCTCTCAGCATGCTTTAGGAGAAAGTTGGATTGGAACTGGCATAGCACGAACCAACCCTTGCCTTTTAAAGTAAATAAACACATTTTTAAACTTTAAAGTATTACTTTTTTACGAGGCCAGTGTTGTGTAGTGGGATAAGCCACAACTTTTGACATCAGTATTTTCTGTGGGTGCAGGTTCATGTCATGTCTGCTCCATTTCTGATCAAGCTTGGTGCTCATGGCTTGGGAAAAGTAAAAGATAGCCCAGACGCCTGCAGTGGCCAAGGCTGGGACAATTGGAAATTGGCAACTGGGAAGTTCATCCAGATGGGAGTGTCACAGGCACAACCAGCTAAACCATCACTGCTGCCTCCCGGGGTTTGCATTAGTAAGAATTCAATGTCAAACCCAGGTGTTAGATAAGGGAGGCTCGTGTTCTGTCCAGCATCTTGATCACTAGGCTAAATGCCTGACCCACATGTTCTCGTTTTAATTGTGAAATGCAGTGCTGTATAAATTAGCTTCTGCTATTAAAGTTGTTAGATCTTTGTCCGTAAGAAATAGTCATATGAAATGTTTATTTGGGTTTTAAATAATTGGAATATTAGATGATTTATTTAATGGGACAATTAAAAATTCTATAATATTAGTTTTAGACAGTATTTTAATTTTGCTTTATTATTTTTGAAGGTGTGTTATGAATAAGTTTAAAAGTGGAACTGATGGGTCCAGTGCAGTAGCCTAGTGGCTAAAGTCCTCGCCTTGCAAGCACCAGGATCTCATATGAACATCGGTTCATATCCTGGCGGCCTTGCTTCTCATCCAACTTCCTGTGTACAGCCTGGAAAAACAATAGAGGACAGCCCAAAGCCTTGGGACCCTGCAATCCGTGTGGAAGACCCAGAAGAAGCTTCTGGCTCCTGGCTTCGGATTGACTCAGCTCTGGTCATTGTGGCTTCTGGGGGCGGGCAGTGAATCAGCTGATGGGAGATCTTCCTTTCTGTCTCTGCTGCTGTCTGTATATCTGACTTTCCAATAAAACAAATAAATTAAAAAAAAGTGTAAAAGTGAAATTGATGACTATACTTTTTTAAAAACCTCTATGGCTTTAAAACGTCAAACTGTGAAACACAAAACCTAGTTTTACTGCGTCTCTGATTATAGAAAATGCTTCTCTTAAATTCAAAAAATAGACCTCTATTGGTTGGTTAAAAGAAAAGGAATTTGAAACTTAAGTAGAATTTCTATCTTATTATTACTATTTTTTTTTAAAAAATTTGCTTATTTGTATTGGAAGGGTAGAGTTACTGAGAGAAGGAGATATGGACAGAAAAATCATCCATTCATTGATTCAGCTGCAGTGGCCAGAGCTGAGCTGATCTGAAGCCAGGAGCCAGAATCTGCTTGCGGCTCCCTTGTGAGTGCTGAGCCCCAAGGCTTTGGGCTGTCCTCTACTGCCTTCCCAGAGGTTACAAGATCCATATGGGTCTCCCATACGGGTGACAGGAACCCATGCATTTGAAACATCATCTACTGCCTTTGATAGCAAGAAGCTGAATCAGAAGCAGAGGTGGGACGTAATCCCAGGCTACTGATATGGGATGCAATTGTCCAAAGTGGCTGCCTAACCCACTAGCCTGCAATGCCCACCTCTATTTCAGTTTTTTCTAAGCACCTATATAATGTTTCCTGACAGTGTATAAAAGTTCCCCTTTCTCCACATTCTTGCAAGTATTGCCAAATCAGATATACAGAGAGGAAGATCTTCCGTCCTATGATTCACTCCCTAAGTGACTGCTACAGCCAAAGATGCACTGATTCAAAGCAAGGAGCCAGGAACTTCTTCTAGGTCTTCTACACAGGTGCAGGGCCTCAAAGCTTTGGCCATCCTCGACTGCTTTCCCAGGCCACAAGCAGGGAGCTGGATGGGAAGCAGGGCTGCTGGGATTAGAACTGGTGCCCATATGGGATCCTGGCTCATTCAAGGCGAGGGCCACAATGCTGGACCCTGTTTTCAAACTTTTTAAAAATATGGTTTAGGGCCCAGTTTGATAGCTTAGTGGTTAAAGTCCTTGCCTTGCACGGCCTGGGATCTCATATCAGCGCCGGTTCTAATCTTGGCAGCTACGCTTCCCATCCAGCTCCCTGCTTGTGGCCTGGGAAAAGCAGTTGAGGACAACCCAAAGCCTTGGGACTCTGTGCCTGCATGGGAGACCCGCAGGAGACTTGGCTCCTGGCTCCTGGCTTTGGATTGGCTCAGCTCCAGCTATTGCAGCCTCTTGGGGAGTGAATCATCGGACAGAAGATCTTCCTCTCTGTGTCTCCTCCTCTCTGTATATCTGCCTTTCTAATTTAAATAAATAAATAAATAAAATATGGTTTATTATTTTACTTCAAAGCAGAGTTTCGAGGGAGAGAGAGAGAGATATGATGTCTTCTATCTTTTGTTTCACTCCCCAATGACTGCAATAGCCAGAGCTGGACTGATCTGAAACTGGGAGCCAGGACCAACTTCTAGGTCTCCCATATGGGTGCACGGATCTAATGCCTTGGGCATTCTCCACTGCTTTCCCAGGCCATCATCGGGGAGCTGGACTGGAAGTAGAGTAGCTGGGGTTCGAACTAGCACCCTTATGGGATGCCAGCCACTGCACCAACCCCATAAACTGTTTTTTTTTAAAACCAGCACTGCTTTGATAGCATTTAGTTTTAGAGGATTGTAAATATAGAGTAAATATTCTGCTACTAAGGAGGAATTTATGTTTAAAATAAATGTATTAATGCAGAGAAGTTTTCTTAGTTTCCTTTGACACACGCTGTTAAAGAAATAAAATATCACACTCACTGAAGTGGGTTCTTATGGGAAAGATTTAAAAGGAACTTGTACTTGTCATGGAGATTTTCAGAATAGCAGATGGAGAAGAAGCTACTTCTTTCAACATTAAGCAGAATGTAGGACCTTAATGAATTTTTTTTTTTTTTAGGATTTATTATTTGAAAGACAGTGTTGAGGGGGAGAGTGGGACATCCTCCCGCTGGTTCACTCACCAAATGGCTACAGTGGCCAGAGCTGGGCTAGGCTGAAGCCGGAATCGAACTTCATCCTGTTTCCCATATGGGTGATAGAGGTTCAAGCACTTAGGCCATCTCCCACTGCTTTCCCAGGAACATCCTCAGGGAGATGGATTGGAAATGGAGCAGCTGGGACTCAAACCAGCGCTTGTATAGGATGCTGGCTTCATTGGCAGCAGACCAACCCATTGTACCACAATGCCAGCCCCTGTGCTATTGTTCTTGAAGGGGTAAATGGAAATTGACCTGAGTATTTAATCTCTTCATTGAAATGAAACAAGATAATGTATTTTTTTTTTTTTATGTTTGAGAGCCTGTTTAGTCAGTGGTTTATAAAGTAGGAATAAAAGTAGAAATCAAAGCATATAACTTTATAATATCATCCTTTTCTTTCTTTTTCTTTTAAGGTCCTGGTATCCTAGCTGCTACAAATAGGACTGAATTGGGAATTACAGAACCATCTTCTCCAAGCCCTAGCCCTGTAAAGAAAAGCAGTTCAATTAATTGGTCTTTACCAGATAAAATAAAATCTCCACGGACTGTGAGGAAACTTTCTATGAAGATGAAAAAATTGCCAGAATTTAGCCGAAAACTGAGTGTTCGGGGAACCTTGAATTATGTGAATAGTCCAGATAATACTCCTTCTTTGTCTAAATGTAACTGTCAAGAAATTCATCATACTGTTATTCTGCCTGCTGGGAATACAACCACAGTTGCAAAGAGAAATGTTATAAGCCGGTACCATCTTGATACCAGTGTAACTTCTCAGCACAGCTACCAGAAGAAAAGCGTTGTGAGTTCTAAGTATTCCTGCAAAAGTGGTTATCTCAGTGATGGAGACTCACCTGAACTTGTAACTAAATCTAGCAAGCATGGCTCTGAAAACAAATTTGGAAAAGGAAGAGAAATAATTCCAACTGCTTGTAACAAAAATGAAATAGACATTGATGCTTTTCGGCATTACAGTTTTTCTGATCAGCCTAAGTGTTCGCAGTATATATCTGGCCTCATGAGTGTGCATTTCTATGGTGCTGAGGATTTAAAACCACCCCGGGTAGACTCGAAAGATGTCTTTTGTGCAATTCAGGTAGATTCAGTGAACAAGGCAAGGACAGCTTTACTCACATGTCGAACAACATTTTTGGACATGGATCACACTTTCAACATAGAAATTGAAAATGCACAGCATTTGAAACTAGTGGTATTTAGTTGGGAACCTACTCCAAGAAGAAACCGAGTGTGTTGCCATGGAACTGTTGTCCTGCCCACCTTATTCAGAGTGACAAAGACACATCAATTGGCAGTTAAATTGGAACCTAGAGGTCTTATTTATGTGAAAGTGACTCTTATGGAACAATGGGATAATTCTCTTCATGGACTGGATCAGAACCGAGAATCAGTAATATTTGGTGTTGATATTCGCAAAGTTGTGGAAAAAGAAAATGTAGGACTGATGGTGCCACTTCTGATACAGAAATGTATCATGGAAATTGAAAAGAGGGGCTGTCAGGTATTGCTTTATTCTGTTGCTTTACTAACTTCTTCATTAATTAATTCATTGTGAGTCTTGGTAAAGTAATTCAAGATAAAGTTAAAAAAAAGTGATTTGGACATTTCTTCATTAATCTTTATTTTTATGCCACTGCTGTCTGGTTATAATTGACACCTTCACCTGTGTTGTCAGTGACCGAGAACATGCTGTATGGTTGCACAGTGAATGTTTTGACACAGAGCCGCATGGGTCTCATAAGATCAGTGTTGCTTTATGCTAGCATTCCTGGGATAAGCCTGAGCTGATAACACAGGCAAAGACAAATTCATATAAGAAATGTTTCTGCATGGTTTGACATTCCAATGGGAGAAAGTTGCAATAGTGAACTCTCTAACCCTGCTTCACTCCTACTCTCAGTCCCACTCATTGGAAGGCATATGCTTGTCTGTCTCTTTATTGTGGAATAATGTGCAGTAAGAGGAGAAATCCTACTAAGATAAGGACATATCTCATTTTTCTTAAAAGGCAGTGGCATCCTGTTAAAACAAAAAGGAAATCTAGTATTATTTATAACAAAATATACACATGTTAGCCAGTTGGTAGATCATTGCTTCCTTTATTTGCTTTAATATATGTACATAGTGTGAGTACATGTTCTATGACAATTGACTCTGGGATGTTATTCTAAGGTAAAATTATTAGATTTGTTTATAAAATGTGTTATCCTTAAAATCATATTTTTGAATTAGTTATCCTTTGATTCTACCAGAATTGGGCTTAGAAGACAAGAGAGGAGAGTATATATGGCAGAAGGTGAAATGTGATTTCTGTATTTACAATAATACTCTTTTGAATTTTAAAAACCTGCATAATTTAGTGTCATTTTCATTAAAATGCAAAAGACCTGAATTTTAGTTTTTCCTCAGTGTTACTTAACTGTGTGAAATTGGGCAAGTCAGTTAATCTCTGTAAGGCGGCTAAAATTTTGAAACTTCTTTTTAACTTAAAACAATTATACAGAAGGAACAAATTTCATGTTTTGAACCTTTTCTAACTCAAATACGTGAGTTCATCTCTGGTTTTTGTTGTTCGTATGAGAACAGGGCTTTCTTTTCCAATTCTGTTTTTGGTCAGTTACTTTTCTTGACGTTCTCAATTTTTCTTCCATTTTATTAGGTAGTGTAGACTTCAGAAATTAGAATTTAAAACCAATTATGAAACTTTAATAGTTGAGTATTAAAATATGAAACTCAATTGCACTGTACTTTTACATAGAATGTTTTCTGAAATATTTATAAACAGAAGCTTGTGTAAAGACTTTTATCATTTACTGTAAGTACCAAGAAAACATGTTTAACAGTGCAGTAGAGATTCTCTGAGGCATTGAGAGAATAAAATTCAGCATTTGAAGTTAGTCACATCCTAAAATATCCTTTCCTTTAAATAAGTGTATTAGATTTTTTAATTGCCTTTAATAATTTATTTGTAATTTCATATTTTTGAGATATAATGGTCCACTAATTAAAGCTTATAAAATAAAAGAAATAATAATCCTTTAATTTGTTCTAGGTTTAATCTGTTTCAGGTTTGAGGAGATATGTCCTATCATGATTTTAATGACACTTAAATGTACATGTATCATAAGGGTTATAACCAAATTAGTTTCTTTCATTCTGGTAGCATTTCCTTTATTCTATTGAATATTCTATTGAATATTCTAGTTTTATTTTTTGGTTCACCTGCCTTTTTACGATGCCTTTCTTGAGATTATATACATATAAGAATATAACATATGTTCTTAATGGGAATGTGTCAGGAATGTGGCTAAAATAGGCAATTTGAATTTTCATCTTAGTTGATTTCCCTTAATAGGTTGATCCTTTTTAAATGTTCCAGTACCTTGAACAATACCATATCTTAGCAACAGTTTTAAGATCCTTTAACTGTCTTTTTGTTAATATTTACAGCTTAGCATCTTAAATAACTTTGGATGACATTTCTCTAAGTCCTTCGTTATCATTTTTCTAGATTGAATCTTACTTCTTCTGGTGCATTGAATGATTGATAGATAAAGCTGGATATATCATCTGCACACTCCTTACTCTAAGACGTTTATATCACTTTATGATGTCTGTTATTCAAATCCTTGAAGGATTGCTCTTACTTTAGTTTTGTCTGGAAATCCTTTTTCCAAAACCCCACTCAATTCACACTGCTTTAACTTCCTAACTGTAAAAGGTCTTTGGTGGGAAAGTGCAGATGGCAGCCACTTACTATCCTTAACTCTGTTGAAATTTTATTCTTTAAAACAGTTCTGGTAGTGTGATCAGGTTTTTTTCTGTTTACAGAGATGCTGATTTCCTCTTTGAGTTTGTAGTGAACTTCTTCTTCTTTTTTTTAAAGATTTATTTTATTCATTGGAAAGTCAGATATACAGAGAGGAGGAGAGACAGAGAGGAAGATCTTCTGTCTGATGATTCACTTCCCAAGTGACTGCAACGGCCGGTGCTGTGCCAATCCGAAGCCGGGAACCAGGAACCTCTTCTGGGTCTTCCACGTGGGTGCAGGGTCCCAAGGCTTTGGGCTGTCCTCGACTGCTTTCCCAGGCCATAAGCAGGGAGCTGGATGAGAAGTGGAGCAGCCGGGACTAGAACCGGCACCCATATGTTATTCCGGCGCGTTCAAGGCGAGGACTTTAGCCGCTAGGTCACACTGCTGGGCCCTGTAGTGAACTTCTTAATATTTTAGAACCTGTAGGAATTAATAGTATTTAAAAAATAAATCTTGGTGGGGTGAACAATGTCTGTGTACCCTATGGGAATTTGAACTGAGGCTTTTTGTTTGTTTTAGTATATGTTTTAATGAAATTTCTTTCATCACTTTATAATCAATTAATTTGAGAAATAGCCATACAAATGCTTTTATTTCTTCCTAAGAATCTGTTTTTCTTTTTCCTAGAAAGCTTTATACAAATTGTATATTGGAATCTTATTTGCAAGTGTGTGTTTGTTATATGGAACAGAAGTTGAGGTTTAAAGAGATTAAATAACTTGCCCAAATTCACCGAAGAAGGAGTGACAGAATGGGACTTTTTGACCCCCAAAACTCATGTTTAATTGCTGTGCTGTATTAGTTCAGTCTAGAGGAAAAGATGTGAAGGGACTCATTCTTGGGGCTTGGAAATATTGATTCAGTATAGAGAATGAAAGATGAGGTTTTGTATTTTTGCTTAAGATAGCTTCATAGAAATCAGTTTCATTGTAAATGGTGTCATGTTTTCTTTAAATCTATCACTGTATCTCAGTTTATAGTAAATTTTTGAAAGTGATTTGAGGTATATTTTAACTAAATGCCATTAGAAGATATTGCTTGCCTAGTTTATGTGACTTGCTATATTGTTACATATTTATATTGTCAAGTTCACCATAATGTGGCCATAATTTTATTTCTAGGTAGTAGGCCTGTATCGGTTATGTGGTTCGGCAGCAGTCAAGAAAGAACTTCGAGAGGCTTTTGAGAGGGATAGCAAAGCTGTTGGTTTGTGTGAAAAAGAGTACCCAGATATAAATGTAATCACAGGTAATAAATGCACTTTATCTTATGTGCTCATTTTGAAAAGACTGTTATCTGTAGGAAAGAGAGTTGCAATGCTAGCTCTGTGCAATTTGGTTTTATTCTGAAGTCTTTCTTTTCTTCCTTTACAAACATTGTTTAATGTGTTATTTTCTGAGGGGGGGGAAATATTAATACATGGCTCATCCTCTTAAATAGTCGGTATATGGCCGAGGAAATGGAACCTCCGTTAGCTGTAGGAGTTATCAGGAGGAAAAGGATACCTTTTTGAGGAATAGATAAGAAAGCATAGAGTCCAGTGTGGCTGGGGCTTAGGTGATATAAATGGCTACGTGATTAGGGGATTTAGATTGAGTTAACTCACAGAGGAGCGTCATTAAGGATTTTTGAGTATGGGCACTGAAATAATTAGAGATTGTTTTTGGTAATTTTCATCTGCCAACTTAATGTGCTGTATTGGAATTGGGTGAGACCAGAAGAAGGAAAGTAAGGATGCCTGATGATAGTCCCAAGTACGAGATAGTAAGAACTAAAGACGGTTTGTAACTGAGACATAGGAAAGCATGGAATTGAAAAGATGTGAGGAAAGATAGAGCCCAGGAGTTTAAAGGGGGGGGAATTTGAGACCTGGATGACTCAGTACCATTAGCAGAATTAGGAGTGTCATAGGAAAGCTACTGCTTTTGGCAGGGATATATAGAGAAAGATTATGAATTACATTTTGGATGTAATATTGTTGAATTTAATATAGTAGTAGGAAATCTACTTTAAGCAAAGTTGAAAATCCTAGGGAGAGGCCGTACGTAGTAGGAGCTGGTACTGAGGTGCAGTGGGTTAAGCCACAGATTTGTGATGCCAACATGCCATGTTCAAGTTGTGGCTGCTCTACATCCTCTACAGCTCCCTACTGATGCACTTAGGAAAGCAGCAGACGGTAGCCTATGTACTAGACTCCTGCCACCCACATGAAGATACACAGGTGGCGTGTCAGGATCCCAATTTCAGCTTGGACCAGTACAGTTATTGCTGCCATTTCTGGAGTAATTCAGAAGACAAAAGATTTCTCTTAGTCTTTCCTCATTGCCCTCCTCTGTCAGATAAAGTAGGTTAAAAGAGAGAGAGAGAGAGAGAAGATGTAGTAGAATTTGAGGGATCTTTTATTTATCAAAATGGTACATATAATGTAAAACATTAGCAATAGGTTTTTTGGGCCCGGCGCGATAGCATAATGGTTAAGGTCCTCACCTTGAATGCACCAGGATCCTATATGGGTGCTGGTTTTAATCCCGGCAGCTCCACTTCCCATCCAGCTCCCTGCTTGTGGCCTGGTAAAGCAGTCGAGGATGGCCCAAAGCCTTGGGACCCTGAACCAACAGGGGAGACCTGGAAAAAGAGTTCCTGGTTCCTGGCTTCGGATTGGCGCAGTGCCAGCTGTTGCAGTCACTTGGGGGAGTGAATCATTGGACAGAAGATCTTCTTCTCTGTGTCTCCTTCTCTCTGTACGTCTGCCTTTCCAATACAAATAAATAGAAAGAAAGAAAGAAAGAAAGAAAGAAAGAGAGAGAGAGAAAGAAAGAAAGAAAGAAAGAAAGAAAGAAAGAAAGAAAGAAAGAAAGAAAGAAAGAAAGAAAGAAAGAAAGAAAGAAAGAAAAAAGAAAAGGAAAGAAAAGAAAAGAAAAAAAAAGAAAAGAAAGGAAAAGAAAGAAAGTTAGTTTTGGGGGGTGGGGGTAGGGGCAGTGCTGTGCACTCGGCTAGCTAAGCTGCAGCCAGCATCTAGTATGAATACCAGTTCTAGTTCTGACTGTCCCACTTTCAGACTGGCTCTGTGCTAATGTAAAGCAGCAGAAGGCAGCATGAGTGATTAGGCCTCTAAAACCCAGTGGAGTTCTAGGCTCCTGGCTTCATTCTGTACCAGCCTTGGCTGTTGTGGCCATTTGTGGAGTGAACCAACAGGTGCAAGATTCTTTCGCTTTCTGTTCTTTTCTCTCTCTCTTTCTCTTTCTTCCCTACCCCCTCTCTCTTTAAGATTTATTTATTTTTATTGGGAAGGCATATTTAGAGGGAGAAGGAGAGAAAGAGAAAGATCTCCCAATCGCTGGTTCACTCACCCAGTAGCCACAATGACCAGAGCTGAGCTTGTCCGAAGCCAGGGGCCAGGAGCTTCTTCTGGGTCTCCCACTCAGGTGTAGGGTCCTAAAGCTTTGGGCCATCCTCTGTTGCTTTCCCAGGCCATAAGCAGGGAGCTGGATGGGAAGTGGAGCAGCCCATGTGGGATTCCAGTGTATGCAACATGAGGACTTCAGCCACTGGGCTACTAGGCCAGGCCTTGTCACTTATTCTCCTTCTCTGTAACTCTGCCTTTCAGACAAATAAATAAATCTAAAACAAAACAATAACAAAACTTAAACATTTGGTACTCCTGAGAGATGGGGTAAAAATGGCACATTGAAGATATCAGCAAATGGATGTTGGTAAGGCCTTGCAACTGACCATAGTTTGAACAAACAAGGACTTTGGGGATCTCCAAATTTCAGAGGGAGGAAAAGAAAGAAAAAATACATAGACATTAAGAGGGAAAGGGGAAGTTTGGGAGACAGGAGATAACAGAGATATGGGAAGGTATAATGCATGTCATTCTATAGGGATAATCTTGCAAGATGGGGAACGAAGGCCTTTTGGCATTACATACCAGCTTATAACCTTATTATAATATTAAAGGATATTTAATGCTTATAATTCTTTTTTAAGAGAATGCTTTGATAAATTTCCTTTCATCATCTGTTTTCCATAATCAAAATGCGTGATCAAGTTTGTCTCACTTACCCATCATCCCTTTTAAATTATTATTTTTCTTTGTTGGGGAGGAAAAGTTGACAGAGAATACTTTCATCTTATTCACTTCCCAAATGCCTACAATAGTTGGGCAGGATAGAGCCAGAGATTAGGAAGTAATCTAGGTCTACTGCAGTAGTGTCCTTGGCAGAAAGCTGAAATTGGGAGCTAGGCTTGGGAATCAGCCTAGGTGCTGTAAGGGCACTGTTTTAACCAACATTTTACGTATGGCCGAACTCCTACTCCTGTCTCCTCTGTCTGGTCCTGCCTAGCCTTGGGTTGTGTGGAAGGAAATCCCAGATACCATGTTCTTTCATCTATAGATGATGTTTCAGTGTGTATCATCAGATTTTGTATATTTTGATCTATTGTATTTTGTACTTTGTCATTTTTGTTGTCAACTGCCATTTTTTGTTATAATGGTTTATAACCATTTTCTTATTATAATGTTATTTTTTTTCTTCTAATTTACTTTCTGTTTCACACATGATCAGTTGTTTGGCTAACTTGAGGAAAATTCATCTTGTCCATACTAAAGATGTTTTTGCTAGTTAGAATCTTTAGGGCTTCTGGGATTGAGTTGTCCCAGATAGTTGACATTATTTAACTCCGAACATTGAATCACTATATTTTCGTATTGTATGTATTATGTGTTCTTGGATAACCAAAACTTTAATCCAAAACATTTAGGAAAAAGTAACTGAGATACTTTTCTTTCTTTTAAATTTGTTAAATCTTAAGTGATGATTACCTTTTTTTTTTTTTTTTTGTAATAAAGAGGGAGGTTTATTTCTTTAAGAAATGAGATAATTTCTTCAAATGGAATATTTTTCATTGTTAATATAGAATTAATAAAATCAGCAAAGGATCCTTCTTATGAATTTGATTAACAAAAACGTACCAATATCCAATATATATATTATATAAATGAAAGTAAGTTTTCTCTTGGTAGAACCTTGTCTTAGAAATAAAAATTAAGGTAAATGCAAATGATTTAAAACATCATATGGTGTGGTTTGAATTGACTGTTTGCTGTAAGACAGTGTGCTTAGTTTTGTGAACTTACAGCATATGCCAAATATGGACAGCAGTAGGCCACTGAGTGTTGAATTACAGCATTCTTTTCTAAAATTGATGGTTTCCATGATCTTTAAATTGAGCATTTCTTGACTCTGTTCTCTGGACTGTTCTATTTCATTTAGGCTGTTTTTCAATGGAATTTGTAATAATCTTTCCCCTTGTTAAAAAGCCAGTGAACTGGTTTAAGAAATATTATCGGAATTGCAATGCATTACACACAAGGTCATTGTGACTCAAAATAAGATATTGATGGTTTGGGAATTGGATAGTAATGGTGTTGTCTCATGTTTCTCAATATTAACTTATTTTAAAGTAAATTAAAAATATAATTAATTGTTCAGTGGGCCTAAAAAAGAGAAACTACTGGAATGAGTGATAGTTGCTCACAGCTCAATGTGTTACTAGTTGATTTATCTGAAACACATAGTGATATGCTGTAGGGAACCAAGATTTTTTTCAATGAAGTTTAAAATTTAAGATACAAAGCTTATTTTTAATACTTTGTGGTGTTATTTACTATTGGAAACGATAATTTAGAAAAGAGGATATTTATTATTTTACAATTATTACAAAAATCTTGGGAGGAAACCCGCTTGAGTGTATTCATCCACTGTAGCATAGATCAGTACTTCTAAATTCATTTGGGCTAACTTTTTTCTGATTTTCATAATTTCTTAGTAATTTTATCATGTCTGCCTTTCAAAGGAAAATTCATAAGAAATAAGCCAGAAATTATCTTTACAACCTTAGTATTTTTTTTTTCATTTAAAGATTGTTACATTTTCCTACCATACATATTATATAAAAGTATTCTCTGATTTTTGGCATTTTAACTTCAACATTATTTCTCTTTATTTGGATTGAACATAGATGTTTAAACTATAAAACACTAAAATGTCAGACATTGAGGAACAGTGACAAACTGAGCAAGTCAAATATTCTGAGATTATGAAAGCCATTTGATCTGAGTAGTGTATAGAGTGTAACTAAAATATGCTATAAAATCAGACACAGTGAGGTAAGGTGGAACAGCTTAATGGATTTAAAACATTATTTTGTAGTTTTGAATTCAGTAAATGCCAGTGATTCAACAT